AACTACAGGGGCTGGGGTTGTGGCTCAGCAGTAGAGCACTCGCCTAGCGCTGGGTTCGATCCTCAGCACCACATAAAAAATAAATAAAATAAAGGTTTTTGTGCCCAACTATAACTAAAAAAAAAAACATTTTTTTAAAAAGGTTACTGAAACTTTTTTAGGTTGAATGGCATTAATAATCTGTTTACTTCTTTCTAAAAGAAAATGTAGCACACATACAGCAATGCTATAAATGGGTTGCAAATCCATTAAAAATCTTATAAATTCCAAAGTTGATGAAATGACCAGGGTAATCTTATTATGGAAGGTGGGATTTTAATTCCAATCATTTTAATTAGACTTAGTATGGCAGAATATTTCACCATACTAGCACATAAGGTATACAGGATTCATATGATAAAACAATTATTAACTTTAAGATTTTCTAATGTGGGCATCTTTATTTCCTCTTAAACTAAGTAAACCAAAACAAAATGTAATGTAATATGAGTCAGTATTCTAAAACTGCCTTATAATTTTAAAACCTTACTGTCTCTAGCCAAAAACGATCGAGGTCACTTCGTCTCTGCTGTTTGTTCAATGTAATGAGCCATCTTCCGCCCCGTTTGTTTTTCTCGTCTTCCCACATAGGCTCAATACCATCCTACAGGGGAAGAAAACAACATTATTAAACAATATTGTGACCTGGACTTTGAGGGAGATAACCACTATAATCAGCAAGTAAAATACTGTCAACTTCTTAAACTTTATTATGAACTGCTATGGGTCGAGTTTTTATTTAAAAAAAAAAAAAAGCAAAAAGGACTTCAAAAATATCAGGGGTGTGACTCTGTCACCTATTAGTTATCAAACCTTGTGCTTTCCTTAATTTGGAAATGATTAAACTTTCTGCCTAACAGACACCTTTTATCAGTTAACTACGTATTCTTCAACACCTAGAAAACACATGCAAAACTTATGCAATTTCAGAATTAATTAATGCTGCATCCTCCAACCATCTGACAAAGTCCATTTATAAACATTTCAAGAAACCCTGCAACCCCTGATTAAGAAAGCCTGACAAGCTCAGTCTACTTAAATACAAAAAGGAGGAACTGGACTGGAGGGAAGAAAATAAAAATCAGAGCTTTCATCAAAATCAATCTCAGTATGCCCTTAGAGTAATGTTCTTAATTTCTAATTTTTATACCATAAATAGAGCAAAATATACTGATGTTAAAAGCCTAGTAACACCAATTTAATTATTAGCCTGTGCATCACAGTAGAAACTATTCTACTGTGGAAAGTTTTCTTAATGAATACATGAATGGTCTAGTCCTATAATAAATACATGAAATCACTGATTAGGCATACCTTAAAAAGTGAGTAGTCACAGCCAGGCATTAAATTACTAGACAACTGGATATGGTTGTATAGACTAGGCAAAAGAAAAGAACAATTAAAAATATAATATGTAATGAAAGGTTATGTGCTTGCATTATACACACTTAGAAACACSAAAACTTAACACAAAAAAGTTCACATGTATTTGTTTTTCTATGAAGTCGATTTCTGAAATGGACAGACAAAACAGATCTTAATGATACGTTCAAGAAACAATTTATAATACAAACTATTTTTAATAATTTTGACAAAAACATTTTGGTACACTGGTTAACTCATACAAATAATTACAAACAAATGTATATATAAAAAACTGAAAATAAAGGCATAAGGTTGCTTAAGTAAATGATAGAACATGAGGGTAATGAACAGTWTTGTTTGTTCTCAAACACTAAAAAAACAAATCATCACTAGACATCCCAACAATTCAAGAGTCTGAGACAGGAGGATCTCAGGCTCAAGGCCAGCCTGAAGAACTCAGTGAGACCCCTTCCTCAAAAAATAAAACAGGCTAGGTGTATAATTTGGTGATAGAGTATCCCTGGATACTGGGGGGAAGGAAAGAGATCAAGAGAAAACATGAACCTGATCCTCAGGATTACATGACTATTCTACTTTTGGATAAACTTTAAGGATAATGATGTTGATTATTTATCAACATCATTATCCTTAAAGTTTATCCAAAAGTAGAATGATTCCCCAAAACTATAAATTTTACTGGCTAGTTAGGAGAATGATTACTTGGAAAACTTTTTTAAAAATATAATAGTTCTAAGCTCTACCATCTGGAATCATTTACATATAGCATGGAACTGATATTTCTAAACCATTTCCAAATACAAAACTAGCAGAATAATATTTGCAATTGCTTAAACATTCACTTTCCTGATAGTAGATGGCTATATCATGTGATTCCTGTATTCTCTTACCGCAAAATTGTTTTTAAAAATTGGCAAAAGGGGGCCAGGATTGTGGCTCAGTGGTAGAGCGCTTGCCTAGCATGCATGAAGCACTGGGTTCGATCCCTGATACCACATAAAAAATAAAAAAACAATAATAAATAAAATAAAGGACTGTGTCCATCTACAACTAAAAAAAATATTTTTTTTAATTGGCAAGAGAATGCTTTGCCTATGTCAAACATTAGATGGCAGAAATTAATTAACCTCAGTCATATGCTACAGACTGTTATGCTTAGGTTCACTTAGAACTAACTATTTAAACCTAGTATGGAAATATCTCAAAGAAGAGTTTTAAGAAAGAACTTGGCATCTTCTGATCAGATTACATAGGGTAAGACACCTATTATAATCCCAGTTTGGGTAAAAGAGCATGTTCCATAAGATTTGTGRGATCATTACCTAATGGTAACTTCCCAAACAATGTTATCAATGACAGCTTCAACTAGGCAACAAAAGAAACCTGATAATAAYGATGACTCAGCATTAACACTACTAATTTCGTACAATAAGTGCTTAGTATGAGAGCACATTTCTTCAATGGAATTTAAGGTGAAAAGCCTAGCTAATGCTATATTTGCCACTTCTTTTCTTATTCAGGTGCTCTAACATCTGTTTAGTTTATGAGAATTTATAATAGCACATTGAACAAAATATTGAGAATATACAGATTGAATCAAAACAAAAATACTCAAAGGTTGTTTTTAAGAAATTTATTAGAAAAAGTAAGAAATTAAGAAGTAATTTAGTCATTAAAGAAAGCTGAAGGATTCCTTCAAATTTCTAAATTATGGTATACAAATCCACTATGAAATGACATTGCCTACACGTACTAAAACGTGTCAGGGCCTTGTGCTTGTATGACATGCACAAGGCCCTGACAATCCCTAGCCCCAAACAAAACAGAACAAAAAAACTGTTTAATATTAGAGAATCAGAATCAAAATTTTAAATTGTACTTTGGAGTTATACACAAGTTTGATTCCAAATCAAAGTTTAACTAGAAACAAAATCTGAAAAACATTTCAATTTTTCTTAGTCTATCATAAATTATAATGAACTATCATCACAGATACTATCCTTTTCTTGACATTCCCTTGAATTCTTATCATTTCAGCCTGAGACTTCATAAGAAATTCCAGACATTATACTGAAAACAATTATAGAAACGGACACCAAACAGTGCTCTAGAGTTATGAGGGAGATTTATATAGGCAACCACTAAAGGATACAAGTTTCAACTATTTGCCAAAAGTTTTAGGGCAATAAAGGATTTTGAAGGAAAGGATATTTCAGATCAAGGAATACAGAATATTCAGGCCTAGGATAACGGATAGAACCTTTCTAAAACTGATCAGGCATAATCACAAATTCAAACATTCATGAGGAGAAGACAAAGTTCTTCAGATGAACGTTTGTTAACTTCACTCATCCCTCATCCTTCCTGTTGTGGATTCAACTTAAAAGAGAAAAAAAAAATTACAAATATCCTAAAATAAATGTTTACTTACGCCCAAAAGTCTTCAACAGTATCAAACTTAGAGATCAGTCGAAGGTTTGCTTGCCAAGTTTTACTTTTATCATTTTTAAAAAACCAGAGTGCCCATCTAAAAATAAAAAGTCAGTGTCAAAAAACAGTCATCGTACACCCAAGTTGACATCAGGATTGTTCACAATAGTCAAAAGGTAAAAGCAACCTAAATGGCATCAACAGGTGAATGGATGAACAAAATGTTGTGCTGACATAAAATTATCATTAATGATATAAGGCAAATACTGTATGATTCGTCTTTAATGAAGTGCCTAGATTAGTCAAAATCAGAGACAGAGAATGGTGATTGCCAGGGGCTACAGAAGTAGTAATAGAAAATTGTTGTTTAATGGGTCAGGGGTCAGCTATTATTTGTAAGATGATGATACTTCTGGAGATTAGTTATACAACAAGAATGTAAATGTATTTACCATTACTAAACTGTACCATATTAAGGGTAAATTTTATGTGTATCTTACCACAAATATTTTTAAAAATTGAATTGCAGTTGATATCCATTGGCAAATAATGAATACTTTTCTCCATTTTATTTAAAAAATAAGCATTTTAGCTGGGGATGTAGCTCAGTGGTAGAGGATTGGCCTGGCATGTATGAAACCCAAGGTTCAATTCTGAACACCAGAGGGGGGAAGGGCTTTTTTTTTTTTTTTTTTTTGGTGTACTATTTCAATAGATTCCCTGTAACATCTAGAGACCCTGAGGTTAATCTCTCAGGGGGATTTCATATAAATATGGGAGAGAAAATCACAGTGTGCAAAGAACTATATGGTAAGAGATAAATAAGCAGAAGGAAAAAATAGACTAGACATACACTTAGCCATAAAGGAAGGTTAGAAAAAAGAAGGCTGAATTCTGAGAGGAACAAATAGCTACCAGACAAAGAGGAAGAAATGGGAGTGTTAGGAACAGGAAAAACTATTAAATTTGATTCTACATTTATTGACACATACAACTGGGAACACAAATGGATTAAGTAATACTGCAAAGATATGTTCTGAAACAATGTTAACCAGTTTCTATATAACTGTATATACTTCCATTTAAAAGTTTTATTCCTAAATAATTATAATAGTACACACACACCTAATAATACATATACTAATTTCTCCTATACTGATAATAAACACAGTAACATTACAATAAAATGTATCATCCCAAGATGATTCACCTTTAGAAGAACTGAATTTCAATATTCTCTGAAATSTAATACAGTAAGCCCTTGGTATCCAGGGTTCAGCATCCTCAGAAAATACTCAGCTTAAAAAAAAAAAAAAAAAACAACTTTTGCCCATATTAAATATATAAAAAATCATTCCCTAAGTACAGCACAACAACTATTAACATAATAGGTATTATAAATATAGGAGGTTGTGCAAAGGTCAAATGCAAACACTACACCATTTTATATTAACTTGAACATCCTTTKGGGTCCCACAACCAGAGGGAGGACTGTAACAAAAGTAAGTAAAAGAGAAATTCCATGTTTTCATCAATATAAATGATATCTGAAGGGCTTTCCAAATTATATATTTTATAGTTCCATGATTGATGCCTAGTACCCCAGTTAGACACATAGATGCATATGAACATGTGCTTGAATAGTTTGTATGTATTTGCCAATCACTATAAAGGGGAAAAAAAGGCAGAACAACTATCACAAAATTCGCATGATAAAGTACGATATTCTAAATTTAAAACAATAATATGGTCTCTTTTAAAAAGAAAACTGTGCTTAGCCTTTAAACATAAAGGTTTATAAAATAACTGGGAGCTGGGTCCCGTGGAGCATGCATTATCCCAGTGGCTTAGGAGKCAGGAGATGGAAAGTTCAAAGCCAGTCTCAGCAAAAGCGAAGTGCTAAGCAACTCAGTGAGACCCTGTCTCTAAATAAAACAGAAAACAGGGCTGAGGATATGGCTCAGTGGTCAAGTGCTCCTGATTTCAATCCCCCCCCCCCGGGTACCCGCACCCCCAAAAAAGGAAAGAAAATAACTGGGTTACTAGACAAAAATGTTTGTACAAGAATGTTTTTAATTTAATTTTAAGATTCTTAAAGTGTGGTTTGCAGACCCCAGGGGACCCTTTTTCTTATATAATTCTAAGACACTATTTATCATTCACTATTGACAATGTGCACTAATGGTACAAAAAGGATAAATCTGCTGATGCCTTAGCAAGAGACAGAGACAAACTATACTAATAGTCCCTGTATCCTTTATCAACTCTGCCAGGTTCATTTAAAAATGTCTTTGACAAAACAATAAAAATTATGTTCTTGTTGAATTTTTATTTGTTTTCATATTATGCATGTAAAGCACTTCTACAAGGCACAACAAAATATGATGCTTAGACAACTATTTGATTTGTGAGGGAAACTAGCCACTAATATCATATTTACTTGAACAAAATAACTGATAAGCCATGGTTATTGCTTAGGAAATGAATAGAGTCTGTGACTTAAAATTTGAGCTTTCAGGACAAAAAATTTAATTTTGGAAAGCTTTCATTTGACACTGTAAGCTGACACTTCCTAAAAATTAAAGACTTTTTTGATGAGCTCAGAGGTATAGTAATGAATTATTATTTCAAATTTCTACACAATGAAATGTGTTGACATTCACAGGGTCTACATTACTCGCTGAATCAATTATTTCCCAAATGATTAATGTATGATCACACATAGGTAAAATACCCACACCAAATGCAAGGAAGACSATGGATTTTTAATATAACATTGTAGGAAAAGTTCTTGAATATGGTTTCAGATTCTACACTGCAAGTAATCTATAATAAATCTAGTATTGGGGGAAATATCCATAATTATCTTAGAAGGCTACTTAAAATTCTTCTCSCTTTTCTAGCAAGGTACTGGTGTGAGACCACATTTTCTTCTTATACTTACATTGAAACAACTAATCTTCACAGATCAAATGCAAAAGCAGCTATGAAAATCCAGCTGACTTCTAATAAGTTATGTTTTTCATTAAATAGATTGCAAAATGCTACTTTTTCTTTGTGTTTTTATTTCAAAATTATTTTCATTAAAAATAGATTACGTGGGGTACTGGAGTTGTGCCCCAGTGGTAGAGCACTCGCCTAGCACATGCGAGACCCTGGGTTCGATCCTCAGCACCACATAAAAATACATAAAATAAAGGTATTGTGTCTAACTACAACTAAAAAATAAATTTAAAAAACAGACTTATAGCGGGGCTGGGGATGTGGCTTAAGCGGTAGCGCGCTCGCCTGGCATGCGTGTGGCCCGGGTTCGATCCTCAGCACCACATACAAACAAAGATGTTGTGTCCACCGAAAACTAAAAAATAAAATATTAAAATTCTCTCTCCCTCTCTTTAAAAAAAAAAAAAAAAAGACTTATAGGGGCTCGGGATGTGACTCAAGTGGTAGCGTGCTCGCCTGGCATGCGTGAGGCACTGGGTTCGATTCTCAGCACCACATAAAAATAAAATAAAGATACTGTGTCCATCTAAAACTAAAAAAAAAAAAAAAAAAAAATAGACTTATGTGGACTGGGGTTGTGGTTCAGTTGGTAGAGCATTTGCCTTGCATGTGTGAGGCACTGGGTTCAATCCTCAGCACCACATAAGAATAAAATAAAGATATTGTATCTCTCTACAGCTAAAAAAAAAAATGTTTTAGGTTAATGTAATGAATTAAATGAACACATTTCAGCATTTATTATAAAAATAATTAAATAGTTGGGGCTGGAATTGTGGCTCAGTGATTGAGAGCACTCGCCTAGCACAGGTGGGACCCAGGTTTGATTCTCAGCACCACATAAAAATAAAGGCATCGTGTTGTGTCCGTCTACCAAAAAAAAAAAAAAAAAAAAAAAAGATATTCTCTCTCTCCAAAAAAATAAAAAATAAAAAATAATAATTAAATAGCAACATAAAAATTTACACAATCAAAGTTCTGTGGCGTCCTCAAGAATGTTTAAGAGTATAAAGAAGTTATGACACCAAATTTTTGAGAAATCATTTATATAAAATAACACCACACAATAGCCTCTCCTGCTTTAGGAAGGTTAATAACCCTAATATACAATGCCTGGAAAATAATTCTCAAATTGTTAAAAGTCTAAAAGCCAAGAAAAGAATTTAGCAAGGGTAGTCTTTCTCCTAAGAAATCTGAAATTTTACCATATAGACACACTCAAAAAAGTAAAACAAACCCATAAGGATGTAAAGTGCAGCACTATTTGTAAATAGGAAAAAACTATATGCTCATTAATGYAGATCAGAAATTACATGTGTATGTATATGCATATGGCAGAAATTTAAAACAGGGCATATAGCTATACTGAATATTGTATGCATGTACGAGTATCCAACAACAAATCCCATCARYATGTGTAACTATAATGCACCAATAAAATAATGTGGGGGGGGGGATAAATAAAACAATAAGGCAAAATCTGCACATACAAACAAAAAAACAGTACAAGTCATTTGTATAAAAATATACATGTGCATATTTAAATTAAATTCTGGAACAGTACAAATCAAATCTAATATTGACAACTTTGAGAAAAAAGTAAAAGAGATTCAGAAAGCCAAAAATTTTTACTTTATATATTTGTTCCCTGTTCATTTAATCATTCTTATTATTATGGGTTCTTTAGAAAGACAATATAAAACTTACAAGATATTTATAAGAAGTAAATAAAGAGAAAAACTACCAAAATTTAAACCATAAGGCATCATTCTTCTTAAAAATGATATCTGCTCTTTTACACAAAAAGTAGATTTTAGAGAAACTAAAATCCCCAGAGTCTTCATTTTTAGGATTTCATACATTTGTTTACTAGTAACACTTCAGGAATCTCAGAATTCTTTCAAGCTGGAAGGAATACGTACCTTGATTACTTCTTTTCACAATAACACCACTAAGAACTGTGCTAACAACTTGAATGATTATACAGAGATACCACTGAAAACAGTGAGAAAAAAAAATTCTGGAGCTACTGTCACACTGAATTAAATGAAACTGCAGTTCAACTTATTACTTGGGCAGAATGCCTCCCTAAGAAAGGATTTTACCCTTCCAGAATTATTTGACTTTTGAAGTTTCACTACCTGATAATCCCCATTTTCTAGTAAAACTGATGTGTTCCTCACTGAAGGAGACACTGAACCACAGGTGTCCTGTGAGAACACTTCATAAAGTATGTTTGGATTATTGCTTTAAAAAGTCTYCCATAATAATGAAAGACTAAAAAACATACAAAGACTATAAAGAGGTGCTGGGGCTGGGGCTCAGTGGTAGAGCACTTGCCTAGCACATATGTAGCACTGGGTTAAATTCTCAGCACCACATTAAAAAAATAATTAAATAAAGTCATTGTGTATCCATTTACAACTAAAAGAAAATATTTTAAAAAGACTGCAGGGGCTGGGATTGTGGATCRGCGGAAGAGCGCTCTCCTAGCACGCGCGGGACCCGGGTTCGATCCTCAGCACCACATAAAAATAAAGGCATTGTGTTATTTTCCATCTACATCTAAAAAAATAAATATTTAAAAAATAAAATAAAAAAGACTGAAAGGGAAAATATTCTTTTAGCTAAAGGAAACTTAATTATAATAGGCYTCTTTCAAGTAATCATAATAAGATCTGCCCCCCCCCAATAAGAAAAAATAAAAACAACAGGAATTGAAATAAAACTTTAAAATCCTCAATTAATCCCACCTAACTTTTCCTCTAGGTTCTTAAACTATTTCTGAGTTGCCACCATCAGCGAAATCAAGTTAATTTTCATTACACAATCCAGAAAAACAATCAGAAAAACAGAAACAGTATTAGTGAGAAGGAGTGGGTAGTTGTGGAAAACTACACATAATGAACTTTGACTTCCTACTATACCGTTAACTATGAAAACATCCTCATCTCCCCCCTTCTCCTTTCCTAACTTGTCTCTTAAATACAACCAACCTCTAGTCTGTCTACACCTTGTACCTCTCCTTTTTCATTCCAACTTTGAGTTACCTGTGCTTGCTTTACATATTTGTATATGCCTTATTCACTCTTCAAACTGCCCCAATTTGTATCATCTACACTGTAAAAAAAAAAAAAAAAACTTTCCCACTTTAAAAAAAATGACTTATTTATTCATTTTTTTAATAATAGCTATGTGAGCCTTTCTTTATTTGACCTTTTAGGTACATATGCTATCCTAAAAACAAACTATTTTGTTTCCATGATCCTCCACTCCCAGTCTGTATGTCTACATCCTTCACAGGCATTGTCCCTCAACACAAACCCTCTATTTGTTGATATCTCAGACATTTGTCTTGAGTCAAGTTGACTTCTCCTTAAGAGAATTAATTACTATTATAGCTTCAATTACAACCAATACAGATGAATTTCAAACCAAACTCTAATCTAGTTCTGAGCTCAAGATTCACACACAAAACTGCCTGATGTTCATGAGTCATCCAAACGAAAATGGAAGCCTCAACCTGAGCATACAAAAATTAGTCTCATCTAATTTTCCCCTTCAAACCTAACCTCTTCACCATTTTCCTTACTAAGTCAGAAAACCTAGGTGTGTGAGAAAGCTTACCTGTTCTGTAGAGGATGTTTTATATAGTGTTCTGGGTTAGCAACCTCCTGATTAGATTCTGTTTTCTCCTCTTCTGTAGGCGGGGGATTAGGAGTAGGGGTGGTTTCCTAATGGAAACAATATAAAACATTATTCTAATTAAACTTGAGCCAATGATGTCAATAGTCTTTTTTAAGGAGAAGGAATCAGAGAAAATAATTTCATAGAACAGATCAAAAACCAACCTCTAATAACCAGACTCTTCTTCCTTCCAGTGTCTCTTCATTAAGAGAAAGTTTCTCAAATTTTRAACTATAATTTTTATGAAATACGCAGTATCCACCTACTTGCCCATTTTTTAAATATCAAGATTAAGCAACAAAATTAGGAGAATCAACTATTTTCTTAACAGGTCATATTATTGTATATGTTATTATTATTGGGGGTAGACGGAGGACTAAAACTAAGTTTTGGAGAGTATAACAACTATAAAACAATGGCAAAAAAAAAGGCTTTGTAAAGTGATCCAGCCAATGATACAGAGGTCCTTGCCTTTACGTCATACTGTTTACCTACTCTATAACTTCAAAGTTTAGCAACTTGACATTTTCAATAATCAATATGCAAAAAAAGAAAGTGGCTTCTTTTAGGTTAGGCAAAATGAATACTGTCACCTAAAAATATCAGAAAGAAAAGGAACCTGAGGACAACTTAAGATAAGTATTCACCACATTCCTCCTATTATTATTGATGCTAGTGTAAACTGATCAAGAAAACATAAAGGAAAGACACCAGAAACTGAAACAAAGACACCAGAAGCTGAAACAAAAGTTGCAGAGTACAGAGATAGGGCTACAACAGTGTTTGGGTATCAGATTTTGGGGTGTTTTGGTGATTCTGGACATCAAACCCAGGGCCTTGTGTATGCTAGGCAAGCTGCTCTGAGTTTTTACTGCTAGGGTAGGTGTCAGATTTAAACTGAACTAACAAAACAAAGTCAGAGCAGATATGCTCTAAAAGATCTCAAACCAGATAGGTGCTTAATACTTGTTTTAAAGAATGTATTTTTTTTCTTATCAACTTAGGATATGTACAGCAACTTCATTCTACTACCCTATAAAGTTACTCAGATCATGGGCTATGTCTTGATTTTGCTCATAATTATATTGTTAATGACCACAGYGCTCAAACTCAACAGGAACTATGAGCTCTTAAAATTGAATAAATTCAAGCCAGGCGCAGTGACTCACACCTGTAATCCCAGTGGCTCAGAAGGCTAAGGCAGGAGAATCACAATTTCAAAGCCAGCCTCAGCAAAAGCAACTAAGTGAGACCCTGTCTCTAAAAACAAACAACAACAACAAAAAAACAAATAGGGGGCTGGGGATGTGGCTCAAGCAGTAGCGCGCTCGCCTGGCATGCGTGCGGCCTGGGTTCGATCCTCAGCTCCACATACAAAGATGTTGTGTCCGCCGARAACTAAAAAATAAATATTAAAAAAAAAAATAGGGCTGGAGATGTGGCTCAGTGGTCCAGCGCCCATGTTCAATCCCTGGTTACCCACCCCCACCAAAAAAAGAGAAAAAAAGGAATTAAAATGTTTACATAAAAAGATTCAAAATTTACATGCCATTAGGAGTGCAGTTTAAGCTTTATTAATAAGTATCTAGCAATCAGCCAGACATTACTAGACACACAAAGAATTTTTAAGACAACTAAAGATCCCTAAAAGACATCCAAAGATGATTCAAAAACGTCCACAGAGACTTAGTAACGACGATTAATATGGTAAAACAGAAGATGGGGGATGGGGATGAAATTAAGAGTTATTTGAAAAGGGAATTGAATCTATTTTTTAAAAGAATCAAGAGTTGTAGCTCGAGTTGTGGCTCAGTGGCAGAGCACTTGCTTAGCATGTGTGAGGCACTGGGTTTGAACCTCAGCATCACATAAAAGTAAACAAAATAAAGGTATGCTGCCCATCTACAATTACAATTTTTTTTTAAATGAAGACATCAAAACATAGTTTTGAACAGACAAGACTCTACCACATCCTCTCACCCACCCACTCACTGGGCCACTCCCAATGGATTCCAAGTGAAATGAATATCAAAGGCAGTCTTCAGCCTATAAGCAATAGGATCCCAGATGGAATTTTGGAGATGTGAAAAAGAATAACATATCAAAAAAGGTTAAGTATTTGGGTAAATGCAGGAAGGATCACCGCKTAAAAGAGCATTAATACTGTCACATGGGTTTAAAACAATTATGAAAACAATGATGATCCCACCAAAGGGTTTGTAAGATTGGGTATGCCAGCAAAATATATCCTTCTTCCAAAAGTACAGTACAGATTGAATAAGTAGCCTTTATCCAAAATGCCTGGGACCAGGAGTGTTTCAGATTTAAATTTTTTTCAGAATGAAATGTCTTAGGGATGGGACCTCAATCTTAACTGGGAAATTTGTTTCAAATGTACCATATAAACACAATTTGAAGGTAATTTTATATAACATTTTAAATAATTTGTACAATAAATTTTTATATTGAAATTGAAGGAGTTGGAACAGAATTTCTTCCCTTGGTGACATTGAAGAAATCAAGAGTTGTGCACCTGTGTTTTAATGGCAACCTGTCACATAAAGGCAGGTTTTTCCTCTTGGGCTCAAAAATTTTCAGATTTTGGAGGCTCAACCCGTAGTTGTATCCTCATTATAAGCAACATTTTCACAACTTTTATTTAAACCTTTTACCTCAGCAGCATTAAAAAATGAAGCAAATGAGGAATTACAAGTTTCACAGGGTCCAAAATATCATCTTCTAACTCATTTAATGCTTTCCTTCCATTATTCTTCTTTTCACTATTAGAATAATGGAAGACTAAGATGATAATCAAATCTATGAATATATAGAAAGAAAAACTAAGTAATCAGGAGAAAATATGCTCATTTCCTAGAATTTAGAAAGTGCTCTTTTAATTTTAAACCCTGCTTTAAAAAAGTGACATAATTTTTTTAATCCTTTTAATGCAGCTTTGAAGAACATAAAAAATTTGTACCTTTCCTAAGTTAACTATAGTAAAATTAGCTACCACTACCCACTTTTAAGTACGTGTGGAAATATGAAACAATAAATATACTAATTTAAAATCTTCTGATCATCACTTTTAATAGCAATTATCTTAATATGTAATATTAAAATAATTGTCTTGGGGCTGGGGTTGTGGCTCAGTGGTAGAGCGCTCACCTAGCATTCGTGAAGCACTGGGTTCAATCCTTAGCATCACATTAAAAGATATAAATAAAAAATAAAGATATTGTCTCCATCTACAACTAAAAATATATTTAAAAAAATAATTCTTGGGGCTGGGGATGTGGCTCAGGCGGTAGCGAGCTTGTCTGGCATGCGTGCGGCCCCAGGTTCGATCCTCAGCACCACATACCAACAAAGATGTTGTGTCTGCCAATAACTAAATAAATAAATAAATATTAAAAAATAATAATAATAATAATTCTTAATTTAATAAGACAATATAGTTTAACATGCAATGTTAAGATAAATGCTTTGAAAAACCATAAAATATTTTTTCTTATTATAAAAACTTTTAATTTTGAATCAAATAACCAAGCTGTTTTTCCTTTCTTAAAATATTTAACTTCGAGGGGCTGGGATTGTGGCTCAGCGGTAGAGTGCTTGCCTAGCATGGGCGGGACCCGGGTTAGATCCTCAGCACCACATAAAAATAAAGGCATTATGTTGTGTCCATCTACACCTAAAAAATAAATTTAAATAAATAAATAAAATGTTTTTTAAAAAATATTTACCTTAGATAAAAATAAAACAAAATATCCATATTAGATATTTAAAACTTTCAGTCTGATTCTATGGGGATGGTTCAAATTCTATGAGGAAGTCTTATACTGTTTCAATTTTTGTCATTAGAAATTAATAAATGATATCCAAAACAATGTCACGCTGTATTAAATTCTTTATTCAAAAAATGATTAACAATTATGGAAATATGCCTAATCAGAACAAAGATATGTATTTTGTTTTTAAAAGAATCAGAACAAAAAATGCTTTTAGGTCATTCCTCAGTTAAACATAAATATTAATCAAATGTAACAAATCCTCCAATTCGTTCATTATTTATTTTAATTTGTTAAGCACATTTAATATAAACTGTATATAAAAATAAAATTTAGATATTTTGAAGTTAGACTTCCTATTAAGATTCTCTGACTAATTCAAATGAGGCATGGGATTTTGGATAAATGGTAAACTAAGTAGCCAGGCTATGGGACAAGTGTACCACACCAAGGAAATTCTCTCTGAAACTTTGTAAGGTTTCATGGGATGAATTTTTAAAACTGTTCCAATCACTTAAAAAAAAAAAAAAATCTGCTCCCTGCCATCCCCAGAATTGGGGAATGAACACAGAGGATCCACCACTGAGTTATGTCTCCACCCTATTTCATTTGAGATCATCTTGCTAAATTTCCCTTCAATTTAGCAATCCTCCTACCTGGGATTACAGGCATGTACCAGTTCAATCATATATTTTTTAAATATTGAAGACAGGAAGTACAGATGATCATGTGAGTATGTATGGAAACTAAGAAACACTTCAAAGAACAATTCTCTAAGAGATACAAACTTGTTTTCAAGGTTGCTTCCTATATAGCACAAATAGTAAAATAGTTTTAAATTTACATTCAATTTAAAAACAAAACTCTCTAATGAAAATTCTCACCACATCCCTCTCCCTATTATTTAAGGCTGGTGGTATACCAATTAGAAAATTTCATGAGAAATTTTTTCTTAACATCCATATTTTCAAATCACCTGGACAAAAAGTAAAGGTTAATTTAATAATTGACTACTTTCAAAGTAATCAAACACATTTTTAACTTGAAAGACAACCTCCCCTTGAAAAGCCATTGTATAATGGGTAGAATAGGGAGCAAGTAGCGCCATGTTTATCTAGAAGATGGTAACCAGTATACCTGAAAGATAGGGTTCGTGAAACCAAAGATATAGCTAGAATGGTAAGTTGGAGTGAGATTTTGATAGGCGCCTCAAAGGTCAGGCAGTAGAAGTCATTAACTGGAAGGTAAAAGAGATTTAA